AACATGATTTTTGCGTGTAATAGATAATTTGAGTTGTGAAGATAATTTTTTAAGGCAAGAGAAAAGAATACATCTTATAATTTTGATGCTCCACCCGATAAGATAGCTTGTCTATCACTCCAAACTTTGGTCTTAGAGGAAATTTTAGTTTTGTTTCTTTTCGGTAAATTTTGACACTCAGCCAATCACAGACTGTTAAAACTCTATAACATTGGATACAGGGATCTATCTATTACTACGGAATATGGTTTCAGCTGTGATTATTATCAGTTTACCAGAACAAATAAATAAATAAAATAATTAAAAATCTGTTTCTTTAATTTACTGGCTTATTTCTAATTTTAAATTAAATTGATTTTATGAGTAAAATGTTTACCACACAATGCCCTGATGTAGTAAAAAAAAAACATATATTTTTATTCATTACTGATATAAGATTTCTCTTTTGTTCATTTTGGAAGTATTTTTAACGAAACGAGAAAATGTTTTCTACAACATATACCAATTGGGTACCTCCAAGTGACGGCATCGTAGCATTTGTTGATTCGGAAATCAATCTGGTTCGACAAACATATGTGACATCGCATACAGGTACCCAATTAAACCCGATTTAAATCGTATAGTTAGACACAATCAATGAACTTCTTCTCGAGTTCCAAGCACCCATTTGGGTACTTGCACTTCAAGAAGATGAAGATCACGGACACCCGCATATGTGATCTATGACGTCAGCACGAGCTGATATATTTATAAGCAAAATGGCATGTTAAAGTTGAGTTAAGTTTCACCACATATTTTAGAATGTTAATTTAAATAAATTTAATTAAATACAGAGTCAATCGCACATTGAATTTATTGAAATATAAACCTTTCGCGCCTACGTCTTTTATTTCACTTAGATTTATTATTTGTTTATGTATTTTATTGTAACTGTAATATATTTTTTGCTTTGTGTACCTGGCAACTTAGATGCACAATTAGTTTGTTTATGTTCCACAAAGATTCGTGCCTGTTTTTGTGTTAAGTAAGAAAGTTATATTGAAAGAATTGAAATCTTTGTGATAGAATATAGAATGTGTCACTTAAGGGAATTGATACTTGACGGGCTTGACTTACTCGAAATAGAATGGTAAAAACACTCGCTAACATAAGCAAGTACCACGTTTGAACAACCAATCAGGATCAATATATCCACACTACGTCACTTGCAGGTATCCCATTATGATATTAGTTGGAAAACAAATTAAGAGATTTATGTTATTTATATCTTGAAAAGCAACTTTCATTTAATAAATAAAGTTGGCTAAACAACATAGTTAACCTACATATACCGAGCGTCTGGTTGCATATAAATATTTTAGCATAACGTAACGTAAAAGCAAAATATTGATACGCTGCAATTTCATTTCAAAACATGTTAGATCTTTAAAATTTCGCCTTTTTGTAGATCCTTGGTAGTTAGTAAATTTTTTAACATTGGTTTTGGGTATCATTCAATATATCTGCTACTAATAAAACTTGGCGGATCATTGTCGGGGGAAATCATAAATTAAAGGCGTCAAAACCAGCGCGATTGTCGAAAGGCGTTTCTATCAATCTGCTTTTACCACCTTTCTGATATCATCCAATAACAATCAAATATTGAAGTTCTTAATTTCATTGTGATTGAATTCGCCAAACTTAGATAACATTTTTGGGCTTTTTCTGACTTAATATTAATGTGTGATCTTAACGTGTATATACGTTAGTAAATAAATGCATTTTACATCTTTATTGGGAAAGATTTAATGGAAGTGAAAACGGAACATGATTTATAAAAATAATTGAGTTTATAAAACACCTGTATTTTTCTTTAAATCGTTTTTGTACCCAATAAACGAATACAAAATACGAAGTTTTAGAACTAATCCTTTTTATTGATCATTACTTGACTGAGGATGGTTTTTAGAAATCAATTGGCTCCTAGGTCCATTAATTTCTAATCGCAATTGAAACGTAATGTGATTTTGAATTCGATAATGGAGGAACTTTAGAATGAATGTTGTGCAGTCTTTAAATTTTCTTTTCTTTTTTAACTAACAAGTGCCTTCTAAAATACTTCAAATGGAAATCCCTAAAAGTTTTGCTTTAAATTACAGTAACGATTCCCTGCAAGTGAAGAAAATTATTCGCTACGGCATCACAAAAGCCTGTAATTTAGTATTTTAATAAATATAATTCTATTCCAATCGAAGAGTGCAGCATTTGAAACTTGAATAGTCAATAAATGCAAATCGTTAAAAGTATCCATGCAATAACTATTTAGCCAGAAATGATAGATGTTTTCAATACACAACCAAATATCAAAGGCTAAAAAAGGAAAAACAAAATTGAGCGAAGTTACCTCTTTTAAGTATCTCGACCAGTTTCTTATCGCAATTGATTGAACGAAAACACGCAAACTATGCTGAATAAATTCATAACTAGTGACAAAGAATAATTCATCAAATATTGAAAGCCAGGCGGCTATCGTAAAAGAAGAATCTTGATTAATAAAAGGATTATGCAGGATTGTCGAGGTGCGTTCCAGAAACTAGAACCACCTACAGAATCAGTCACAATGAAACAGGTTTTTTATCAACAGAATAGCCACTTGATGAATTGCGCATTTAATTTAAAATAACATATAAAAAGAGACTTTTCAAAGTTCATTACTCTATTAGTTTTAATAATAGCAAACAAATAATGCTATAATAGAGTATAAATCAGACTTACAATTTATTTCATTAGTTTTGCTAAGGGATTGTGTTGACAAAAAACGCCTGTAACCAATTCACGGAGTTATAGTCGACGTGTTTTTTTTTTAATTATACTAGGAGGCTTCGCTCACCAACCTCTTGTTTCGCTTTCACCATTTTTTTTTCAAATGTCGAATTTATCAACAAAAAAAGAATAAATAAATAATTAAAAGATAATTTTGTTCATAAATCATAGTAATCGTCTTAATATGATGTAAGAACATTTTGTTAATATGTTACTCATAACAAAGTGAATACCTAACTTTAAAAAAAATTACCTGACTTTGAAAGATATTAGGAACAGAGATGTGTGACACACAAGATGAGATAAATAACAAGCAATTTTAATCATAAACGATCATTTAAGTAATCGAATTGAAAAAAATATATGTATATACTATATAAATAAGAAGCAGTTTTACTCATTAACAATTTGAAACGATAAAATTATCATTAAAGTAATCGAATTGAAAATAAATTTGTCAACTAGTTAATTTATTCTATAATTAAGCTTTTTATCTTTCAAAAGCAGAAAAACAGAGGCGACGTCACTTACGATGATTATAAAATAGTAAGCGACGTCGCTTCTGTTTTATTAGGTGTTCAACTTTACGTTATCTTTTGTTTTGCAGCACGAAAACTATAAGACTTAGAAACTCGACATTACGAGGGTAAGTAGAAAAATGTACAAGAAGTACGATGGTATAAAGAAAGATTAACATCCAATAATTAGTACAAGAATTATTAATTGTTTAACTAAAAGTAAAATATTATATACGGGCCACCCTTCAGCCCGTAGAAATGCAACTGCAGAGTTGAAATTTGTGGTGCTGAAAATTATTTTATTTAGGTACTTAACACAAGTTCTTTGTTTAGAAATGCTTTCTCGTTTTAAAAAAAAAAAATTATTATTATCTAAATTTAATATCGCTCTCTCGAAATCTTTAATTTAACACTTGATGTCAAAAGTAACAAAAACCACATCTAATTTATTAGAAGTCATAAATCGAAATTTAATATATCTTTCCCAAAATCTTTAACGTTTGCTATCAAAAGTAACAAAAGCCACATCCAACTTATTAGAGGCTAAATCTCTCTCTCTCGAAATCACTTGATGTCAAAAGCAACAAAAGCCACATATAACTTATTAGAAGCCATATATCTAATTTATAAGAAGTATTTAAAAATGATTTCAGAGATGAGTGATCTATCAATAAAACTAAAGAATGCTGCAAACATAGAATATTTTAACTGTGACTTACTCAAATTCCGGAATTGTGTCAGAGAAATTGGCAGAACTTGACAAGAAAAGTGAAGCGAATGTTCTGTGCTGTCCAATGCACTCGACATGAAGTGTTTGTACCCTGCAGCAGGCAAAGTTTTAAAAAACAAAGTCAAAATTTGATAGAATGTTTAGCTTCTGGATTATTTTCACTAAAATAAACTTCAATAACCACCGTGATGTTAAATATGAAAGTAAGGTAACTTAGTTAAAATATTTAGGCTAGTAATTTAAATATTTTAATTACAACTAGGGACAAAATAAAGTTTTATTTTTTTAAAAATCTGTTTGAGTTGTTTTCTAGCTCTTTGATGCAGACGGGGACACCCTATATATTTTTTCTGGCTTGCTCTTTTATATTTCTTCTGGCACTCGAATTACAAGTAAAAATATATTTTGGTATTTTTCATTATAAAAAAAATCTTTTTAGATCGTCGGAATTATGTGTACTAAAATATAAAATCCCAAAAAAGTAGTTGAAATTTTTTTAAATTCATATTCGAAATTTCATCAATAACTGATTTTTTAAATAAAAAAGAAATTTCAATGACAAATAACTTTCTCTTGGAACTAAATAACTGCAAATTTGAAAAAATATTGTTTAAAGAGAGCTCTGGAAGATTTTACCCTAATGCAGAAAAAGACACCAGTGTTTTATGCTGTATTTCTTAACCATGATTTATTAAAAAGGCTAAATATAATTTTTTTGCTTATTTCGACCTAATTAATACAAAATAATGAAAAAAGTATGAAAACCATGTTTAATAAAAATTCTACGTCAAAGTGATAGTAATTTTAAAAAACTGCTGCATCCTTCTGTAGCATTGTTCTAAAACATTCCTGCATAATGTTATGAAACAGAAATATCCTAATTTTAACTACAAGCTGTAAAATACTTATGAAAAATAAGATTAATTTTGCATAGATTAAGTAAGAAGAAAAAGTATTTAATTCATTTTTATTTAATTACCTGGTTCCAAAAGTACAAATTTACATGAAATAACTCAGACATGATCACATTTGTATAATACACAACACCGAGAATAATTGTATAAAATTTTATAATATTTCGATCGAATAGCGATTGTCAAGTTTATCAAAACAGTTCACATTAAATTATTTTATCGTAAATTCTGGATATATATATATTGATCCTTATATAATAATCTGTTTATACAAAGGTTTAGAAAAAAGGGAGAAGTAACAATTTTTTAACAAACAAATGTAAAGTCGTTTTTGTAAAAAAGAATAAAAACATGGCAAGTATTTACAATATAAAAACAAAGATTTAACAAAAATAGTATAATAAAAAATTGTAAAGTATTATTCAAAAAGAACATACAATACATCATTGGCAGACAATAGAAGAAAATGCTGACATGGCATTAATGAATTTACAAAGTATTTTTTCAATGTGTAGTTATATCACTATAATAATAATAAAAAATGCATTTTAAAACTAAACTTATGTCCTTCCACAAAGAATATTTAAACACATTATATTTTTAATTGATATAATATGCTTGTATAAAAAAAACTTACTAAAAAAATAAAACAAGAGCCATTTTTAATTTAAAACAGCAAGAATTTTTAAGTGTGAGTTAATTAATAAGCAATTTGATAAAAGGATTTCAATGAAATAGGTCAAGCAAAATTACATTTTTACTATTAAACATTAAAAGGAGCTGCCAAAAATTTAATTATTCAAAATTTATTTCATGCAAAAATGAGGTCTTAGTACTGTATACTATTTAATTCGTTAATTATCATTAACGATAGAATTAAATTATAGAAATACTATAGGATTCTAAAAGATAAAGAAATTTATCATTTCACTAATTTTTAAAATAAAATTTAGTAAAAAAATAATATTCTTAAAACTTAGCTTTTTTCCCCTTTCATTTTAATAAAAAAATAAAAAACTTCCAACTTTTTGTAAGGCTGTTGCAAAATACAGAAGCCTTTCGTTAAATTGTAAATTTACATTATATCACTATCGAAAGAGTTAAAATAAAGAGCTTTAAAAAAATTAGAAAAAAAATATGAATAGAATCTTTAATGCCTTGAATAATTTAGCATCTCATACCATATTATTTGAGCAATATTTCATTATTTCTTAGGGTCGACAACGGGGAGTAAGTATCATTTATCACCATTTGTGGAAATTTTTAAAGTGTTATTGTAGTTTTATTGAAGATTGCACATGCAAAAAATAAATACAATAAATGTTTTAGTTAATCTTAACAAAGTTAGCCTAAAATGAAAATTGCATATGCTTAAAGAAATTAGTTATTTTTAACCAAGTTACCCTAATATAGCTGCATGCTTTCACAATTTTACAATATCCTTAGTTACACAAGCTTCTATATGGCAACTCTGGTCAATTTTTAACTACAAATCATACAACTTAGCACACATTTTAGTGTCATTACTATTTTAAGCATAACCTTAGTATTGGATTAAATAATAAAACGATAGAATTTCTTCAACAAAAAAAATGATTAAGAATATTTATTTATTATTATTGCAAATATGATATTTAGAATATAGTAATACTAATAAAAAAAATCACTTAAGATTTATGGAAGTATTAGTATTTTAATAATAAACAATTAAAATAAAAAAATTAAAATTACAAAATTTGATGCAAAATATTTTTTCAGATATAAAATAAAATGCACTGCACACAAGCAGTCAAGTTAAAAAACAATGATGTCAAACTTAGTTGTCATAAAAATGAGCACATTCAGAAAAGTACTTATATTATAAATGAATGAAAATAAAAAATAAATGCAAAATTTTAAAGCAATTACTTTGAAGCTCTTTAAATGAAAAATGCCTTAAAATTATGAACAATTTCAAAAACGAAAAAAATTACCAAAAGGAGAAACATAATGATAAGTAAACAAAATAATGAAAACAAACTTGAGAGTAACATTGTTTTAATAACACTGAAAAGCATGCATTTGCTGATAGTACTTAATAATTCAGACAATACTAATTTATCAACAACAATGCTTTGCATTTCATTTCTTATCAATGCTTAATACTTCCTTATTAATATTTAATATTCCTTTGTTACTAATACTTAACACTTCAGATTTACATTTAAAACTGTTAGCGTAGACGGATATTGATGAAATATTTTTTAACTGATTAATATGTAGTACATTTATTTGCTTTTGCTATTAAAAAAAAAACTGTAGAACATGTATCTTATAGGTTCAACAGAAAATGTAAACACTTTGAGGTTTTACAGACTCTGTTAATAATTACTTTAAGAAATTTATGAGATTGTGTGAGTTAGATATGAAAACATCTTTTTAAGTATGGCTTATCACTAGGTTGCTCAATGCTGATAGCAAAGAGAAAAATAAACAATTCAAATACATTTAAAGGGATATTATATAGACTATACATTACATGCTTAAAATACAATTTTATATTAGTGTTTTTTACATTATTTTCTGGTTAAACATTTCATGGATGGAAGTTTTCATACATTAAAAATATGCCATATTCTTTTAGTTAATTAGTTTGAAAATATAATGTCCTCTTTATAATAATAAACAGTATTAGAATGAATTTATTTTTATACATTGGAAAATTACTTTAAACACTCAATGTAGAAAATTAAATTATGATAATTATTTACAAGTTAAATAACTTATAAGTTGCAAGAGTTTAAAGTTTAAATTGACAAAAATAATAATGACCATAATTTTAAAATAAAATTTTTATTACCCCAAAAAATTTTATTAAACACTTCTATAATGCAAATTATCATCTAATTAAATATAAAAATGGGTATTTTAAGGTTATAATTTGAATGAAGAAATTTAAATGAATAAAATTGTGCGCATATAACATTTTTCAATGCATTTTTGCAAACATAAATTATGTAATATCAAATTTATTACAAGAAAAACCAAATTAACAAAGAAAAAAATAGTAATGTAATAAGTAGACCACTTGTTGCCTTAAATGCTTAGATAGTAGGCAGCTTCTTATAAAAATCCTAATAGGATAAGAGAAAGCAGGATATGCCTATAAATGTGTCCGTACCTAATCGCTTAACGAATTATGATAATCTAATTCTTATACGAATTAAATAAATAGCAGCAAGTTTAAATTATTTGGTATGAAACTACCTGAAGTCCATAAGATAATTTTGAATTTTTATGTTAAAGAAACATAAAAAGAAAAAAAAATTTATGCATAGTACTATCTTTACAAATAGTATAAAAAGAACCACTTTCTTGTCATACAAGTTCTGTACAAAAAAAAAAATTTCCCCTAAAGGTATTAATTTTAAAGTTACGGAGAAACGCGTTTAAACCCCTTAAGGCAAAAACCATATTTTAAAACTAAGATGTTAATAACCAGGCAATTTTAAATAAAGCCTTAACTTAGCAACCTTTACTAAATTTTTGCTTAAAACAGCAAAGATACAGTAAAAAATTCTACAGACTTACATGCAAAAATTGAAATAATTAAAAATCTACTTTTAACAGAGTTAAGCACCACTTAGCACTAATATCATTTGATATGCAGAAATAATATAGCTGTTACCCAGGGGAAAATAACACAGATTTTTTAAACAGATGTTTCGGAATTTAAACGTAGTACAAATTTATTGCTTTTAGGGTCTATCACTTCCTCTGTGATACACAAATGAGGTAAACGAGATATGGTGACTAACAGAGAAATGTCATTTTGACGAAGCATGAAGATGCATCCATGTTCTATTGGTCTTGAGAGCAAAGTGTCACAGACCAGAGACCAAGTTTGACTTGGACGATGTTCCCGGTCATTTTGAAGAACAGGTGAAGAAATTAGATATTTTTCCAAAAAGGCCTTGGGGCTTAAATCATGGCTTAAGCATAATGCAAGATGGTCTAAGATGGATTGCATTGTATGCCGTGGTTGTTGACGAGTTATACGCAAGTATTTCTGGAGTGATTTAGCCATAGATGGAAAAATTGCTTGGGCTGCTTCTGATGCATCCATTGGTATTGCAGGACCTAAAGGAAAAATTACAAATGATGTTCCTGATTAAACAAATTAAAAATACACATTTATATACAGAATTGTTTTTCAGAATATAAATTATAACTCAATACATAAAATAGCTATTAGCAATAATAAAATAGTACATAAAATAGCTAAGCAATTTATACATAATACCTTATAATACATAAAATAGCTAAGCAATTTATCTTATAACCGCAGTTGACCAGCCGACCCAATTTTGAGTTTAAGACGACCAATGTTCAACTCCGTAGACTTGAAATTTTGAACGCGATCCGGAAGACAAGGGAACTCCTGGATCAAGCATTGAGAGGAATTTGCCTTCGTAGAGGACTTTTTGATGGAACTAATCCGCATTTGTGTTATGTGGAGAGGAATACCTCTCACGGTTAGCCTGGCGGCAAGCGGACTAACTCATGATCTGTCTACCACTGATATTTTTCGTCAGCACTGTGGTCAGTGCGAGACAGGTGCAGAATTTGAATTGACCAGCGATCACGGAGATTTGAACCAGAGTCACCTCATTAAGAAGTGTGTGCTATACCCCCTGAGCCACCACGGTTCGAAAAAAAAGCAATTAATCAAATATAATCTAATTAAATCTCCAACTTAAAAAAACAATAAAATTAAACTTTCATGCCAAATGCTCAATAAAATTAAGCTCAGTATTTGAGAGTCGATAAAAGTTTAAAATTTCTGGAAAGCAGCACCAGTATTATGGAATGGAAAATAAATAACATAGCTTTTTATTATTTTGAAACTACATAAAGACCAAGTTTTACATTTAATATTATTAAAAATTAACTAATACTTGTTTCAATAAAAAAATTTGTCATCTTTATGAATAACGACAAGGTTTTAAATGAAAAGACAGACCCACAATTTTTTTCTACTGTTTGAAAATTTATTATTTTTATATTAAAAAATATTTATTTTTAATTTGTGTTCTTTTAATTTTCTTTACTTTACTTTTTTATTTAAGTTCCTTTCTCCTTCTTTTGGTGCTATTACTCCTTTCATTTGTTCTTCTTTTGACCATTTTTCTTACATGGTATTTCAGAAAGGATAAAAACCAGACTAACAAGAGCAATCTCCTGATCTCCCATGCCCGAAAACAACTGTTTTTAAATTCCCACAAAAGTTGAGAATAGTGATTTGCTAGGATAGCTGAAAAATAACCATGTGGAGAAAAGAGATAACTTTTATGTGACTGAATAGCGGCCTGACAAATACTAGTTTTCGCCCAACTGTGCTTGTCTTAAAGTAATAAGAGTTGAAAAATCAGGGTTGCAAAATATGCCCGATTGCAAAACAAAGTTCAGGAGCAATTCAGGCATCCCTGGTGAAATTTTTGGGACAATTAAACAAAAATAAAAAATTCCTACAGAAATTTTTATTAAAAAAAAAATTTGCTTCACAAATTATCATGAATTATTACTATTTTAACATAGCCTGAATTTTAACACTTGTACAAATTTATTCAAGAATAGTATTAAACCAAACGAAATTTTATTTTTGTTGTTGGAGAAACTTTTTTAAGAAAATGCAAACTTAACTTTCTACAAATATTTTGAAAAAATTATAGTAACTAAAAAATAAAAACGCCATAATTTTGGGCAAAATTTTAGACTAAAAAAACTGTGTTCTAGGGAAACATTAGGCTTCATATCAGGCCTTGCGTAAAGGATGAGTAGCATCTTATGTGAGAAAACTTGCTCTACCATTAATGCAAAAAAGTATTTTTTCTGTAAGAAGTTTAAGTCACTATTTCACACACTTTTAAAAATAAAAAATTTAAAGGCATAAACTTAATTTTACTATTTTTACCAACCCAGTTTCAACTATTTTATTTCAACACTTACCTTGTTCATCTTNAGAAACTTCTTCTTTCACCATGAGACAAAAACAATACATGAAAGTGCAAGTCACACTGTTGATAGTGTGTTGACCTTCTGGAATAAGGCTAGAATTCCTACAACCGAAAAGCAGAATGCAGTAAGAAAGTTAGAAAAATTAGTTGAGCGGTACCAAAAATTGAAAAAGAACAGAAATCGGAGTACGAATACTCAAGAAGACAATGAACAGAATTTTTTCAAAGAATGCAAGATGTTGTGGGATATTGCTCATGTCGGTGCTTTACAGATCATAAAAATTGAAGACAAGAAGTTTTTGCTTAAACAGTGGGAAGGATTTGAAGGCTGTATGTTGTCAGTCGACAGAAAACTTGAGAAGAAAAAGAAACGCTCATCTAAAAGGAGGCTATATGAGACACTACCATCTAATAGTGTGGACATGAATAAAAACAAAACTGTATGTTATCCTTCATCAAGTGCTGAAATTAAAGAAGACTGTGGTTCAACTAGTCCTCAGAAAGTGATACTGATGATGATACTTTTCAATATCCTAGTACTTCAGAAAAGACAGCAAAGGGGAAAAAAAACAAGCTTCTTTCACCTAATTTGATGTCTGTATTGGATCGAACAAAAACCTCGGATCGCAGTGCTACATTTTTAATTGCAGCAACAGCCCAAACAGTTGGAATAAATGTAAGTGAAAGTACTGTTTCACAAAGTACACCTCGCAGACACAGAACAAAATTTCGAGCCCAGTTAGCGAAGGATTTGAAGCATAACTTCAAACCTGAAGGTCCGCTTGTCGTCCACTGGGATGGGAAACTCATGGCTAGTATTTCTGGAGAAATGGAGGAAGTTGACCGCCTCCCTATTCTTGTCACAGGAAATGATGTGGAGAAATTACTTGGTGTGCCAAAACTGCCAGATGGTACAGGCAAGGCAATTGGAGCATTCCATCATGCACGGTGGATGGCCAAAGTTATTTACTGTTTAAAAATATACATGTTTTGTGGACAGTTCAAGCTCACACCAAAAGAAGCTAAAGGGTTGAAACGATGAATTGATTTTAGCACACACTTGTACACGAGAGCCTGGTTTCGCTGCTCTAACGCAGCCAATGCACCTTTCATAGACTTAGAATTTTTGAAACATTTAAATTTGGTGAAAAATGAATGCAAAGAAATCTCAAAAGCTGCACGCAATGGGTTGAAGAGGCATCTATGGTAATTAAACGATGACTTATTCAAGCTCAGCCTATTCAGCTGTCATGTAAGCACAGAAGATAAGGTTTTAATGGTTGAGAAGTTGTTTAAAATAGATGAACATATTGAAGATGTAACCAATGCTTCTAAATGATTTAAGGAAAAAGAAATCGGAAATGTTAATGAAAAATCATTGCATGATTTTGTTAATGAAAAATCTTGGATGATATTTAAGTCATTGAATATACAAGGCGATTTCTTACATTCGTCCCCATTGGAATGGAAGAAATTTTATTCTTACCATGATGGTGAAAAGAAAGTGGAATGTTTAAAGACAGTAAATGATTGCGCAGAAAGTGGCGCAGCGCTCATTACAGACTACAATGAACTGATAACTAAATATGAAGAACAAAAACAATTCTTACTTCAAGTTGTGGAATCTCACAGAAAGAAATTTAAGGATACTAAAAAAACCACACTTGTTCAAAATGTATGATTTTTTATTAGGATTTTCTTCATATATGCTTACTAATAGATATTGTGTTGGCTCGCTCCCTTGTATTTTATGATATAAATAAGAAATATGTACATATGAGTGTACAATTCATGGTTTTTGATG